TGCAAGACTGAGTTTCCATTGTCAACAAACAATCTACAAAATTTTTACCAACATACCTGTAGTTGTAACAGAGGCACTAATCACTGTAACTGAAGATAGAAATGTGGGTTGGAAAGTCAATATATTAATATATGACGACATATTACTGTTACCAGTAATAAATTAAAAAAATGACATCTAGGAGGGTTGGTTAGCCTGAAATAGCCCAAAAAAATGGGCAAGATGACAACTAAAAGATCAAGAAAGAGGCCATTTGGGGGCATGCTTATTCAGAGTCATGGGAAGGGAATTCCTGACAATAGATCTGAATGCATTTTTGTAGATCTGGAATGCTTACCAGTTGGACAGCACCTCAGTCTCAGATTTATATGGGAAGATCAATTACAATAATGTTTTCTGTTGAGCATGAATCACATTAATGAACAAGTGGTCTTAAGCAGGTCCCTCCACATTAGACAGCTCAAGAAACCTCAGGAGTTATGGGGAAAGCCTGGCCAGATCTTGTTCCCATCTACCTCCAGAGCAATCCCCATTCCACAACTCTGAATAAGCAGGGACAAAAATGGCCTATCATGGACTGGCTCTACCTCAGCAGTTCCTTCGACACAGAACTTACAAAAATGGCCTATTCTTGTTCATTTTTTGGTTATTCCAGGCAAAATTCCTTAGGTATTTGAAACCAGAAATTAGATTACTGGGAGGGATTTTTACTTCAATAGGATCCTCCAGTAGTTTCCCTTTCCTTCACCTTTTGTTTTTTTCCCCTTCCCTTGACTGGGGGTGGGGGAAAAAAAAAAAAAATCAGAGTACCTTGCCACTTGTGACCCAGTCAGCTGCAGGATTTTCCCAGAAGGTTTCAGCCCATGCCAGGGCCTTGAGCTTTCACAGACACTGATAAAGATGTTTATTTCCCAGAGAAGCAAAAAGAAAATGGTGTCCAACCTCAGCTGAAATTCCTTAAACTCTCATTAACCACATCCCCTGTTTCATGAAGATACACCTTGGTAGAATATCCCTTTCACTGTGTCCTGAGGTTAGGCTGCAGTACTCTATCAACTCCCCCTAAAAAATGC